TAGATATTTTTTCCTGCCATGATTGATTGATTATATATTTTGAAATCTGTTTACGTGACATCATAATACAAATGGTGGAAGTTTTAACTCATACAATTTATATTTTTAAATGAGCTAAGTTTTGTTTTATAGCCATCATCAGATACATCTTGGTAAAATGTGGTTAGAGCTGTTATGTCAGCTTTCTCACTTCAAAAAAGTGTGATATATTCTCCATCTGTTCTGTGATCCCAAACTAAATAGTTCACTTAGGACGTGTTCTTACTTAGGGCAGTGCTTTTATGAAGGTGTGCCATAAAAGCATCCAGGTGGCAGCAACCCAGTCCACATGGGTCCCTTTAAATCTGCTTGGAGGTGATGACATTTCAGATGTCACAGTATTTCCTACAGCAGCTAATTGTATGAAACTCTAAGTTTTGAATTGTATATTTATATTTCTTTGACTTAACAAACTAATAAGAAAAATGAAAACTAACAAATACAGAAGCTTATTAGCTTGTAAACTATAACAAGATTGATCTGCTTAGAAAAGTCTAGTAGGTAAGTGATTTCGCTTTTAAAATACACATTTATCAGTGGGCTTTTCAACTGGTGGTAATAGATAAGAGCTGATGAATATTACTGTGTTGATTTTAAAGAATAAGAATGTGTATATTTTTTCTTTGCTGTTTTCAAGATCCTTCCACCTGATTCGTGGATGATAATCAAAATATTTCTGCAATGAGTATATTAAGGATTGGTAACAAGTGCATAAAAAGAGTTATGAGCTATGATGGTTACCAAATAAAAGAGGAGAGTGAGAAAAAATCAGAATAAAAAACCAGCCACCTTGAAGGAGATGAGTGTAATAAAGATGAATTTAGGCTGAATTAACATGAAGTCCTGGGCTGATTAGAAACCAACAACTTTGCAAATACAGAATAGAAAATCTGACACAACTTTGAACTTAGAGTAAATCTAAAATGCTGTGACACTGTGAGTCAACCATATGATGTCTTGCACTGGTATTCTATTCTCAAGACCAAGCTCTATCTTTTCTCTGTTCTCTGCTGTTCAGAGTGAATGTTATGTGTTGCATTCGATTTTTGTTGTTGTGTTGTTCTTATTTTTATTAAGTTGCATTGGTTTATGACTGTTGTGTAATTTTTCCATCTAACTTTGAACCCCAACATTAGAAGGAAATCATGACCACCTGGAGTCTGTCCACAGGAGGATGAAGTAGTCACAGAGTCCTGTCGCTTGACAAACAAAAGAAATTGGGAATTTTCAAATAGAAAAAGAGAAGACACAGTGGAGCCTGGTAGCTATTTCCAAACACAGCAGGTCTTCCAGTAATATCATTGTGTTTTAAGTTGTTTTATGATAACATTGATGGGGATTGAGAAATCTTCTCATGTGTGAAACAAATTATTCCAGACCTGACTCCATGAACTGTTAGTTCATTTGAAGTCAGTTTCGGAGAATCTGTTGAGTGTAAACTTGTGATACCTGAAAAACTGTTGTCTTCTTAGAAGCTGTGAGGTTGGTAGTGACGGGGGTGGGGGGGCCCCAGTGGTGAAAACGAGGACCAGTAAATGGAAAAATGTATGAACATGATCTAAGCTTAAATTAACTGCCTTATGTTAGCAACTAAGGGCAGAGCAAAAGGCAAAGGCTGCTCACACTAGACTGGAGGTATGACAGGAACCTTTTTTTTTTTTTTGCTTTTTGGATCACACCCGGTCTCCTCCTGGCTCTGCACTCATGAATTACTCCTGGTGGTGCTCAGGTGATCATATGGGATGCTGGGAATCAAATCCGCGTCAGCCATGTGCAAGGCAGACACTCTACTCACTGTACTATCACTCCATCCCCAGACAGGAACCTTTTTACCAGATAGCTAAAATGTTTAACTTGGGAATTTTAGTCTCTGGGTAGAAGTAGAGTGGTATTGGTAATATTTAAGTTCTCGTTCCAGTTCTTAAAATTGTTTGAATCGATGAATGGGCATTAGAAATGTTAACTACCTTACTGCTTTGGCAAAAAGATGAGATACCCTGATTAGAAAATTAGTACTTTTTAAAAAAATACTCTACGTGAGCATCAAAAAATGAGAACTTTCCATTTGTGGGAGTACTGTATATATGTGATTAAATATATTTTTTCTCTTAAAATTGTACCCTCAGACAGCATGAGGTTTGGAGAGACTTGTTCCATTTTCAGCAAACCTAAAACTAAAAATTGGCAATTTTAAACATTAGCAAACTTGTGTTGATTCTTATTTTTCACAAGAGCCTAAAAGCCTTGAGGGCCTTTTGTTAATAAGGCAGAGAAAACACAGCTGGCCTGGTGGCAAGCTTTCAGGGAATCAGACATTTGGTGGCACTGTTGAAAATGCAATTCATTAGTTGATAAAGCAGTTTAGAGACTACTATCCAGCAAGTTTATAGAACATTACAGATTAAAAGATGTTTTCATATACTTTTGGTCAGAGTCCTATGTTGAGTATCTCATGTACTTATTAAAAGAACAAGCTTTTAGAATTTACTATAAATTGTGAACATCTTGGCTAGGAAACTCGCTACGAGTCTATTAATTCGGGTGTTTGATGTGTCTTTGTATTCTAAAATTTAACACACCATATGACAAGACAGCACCTGCCAGCCCCAACCACAATGAGTCTACATTATTAAACACCAGTTATGGTACAGCTGGAAGGAATAAGGATCCAGAATGCCCAGAAGAAAAGGGTTCCTTTTGAGACATCTACCTACTGCTTTTTTGGCCTGAAATACCATTATGTCTATAGTGAAGGCAGTGACACCGGGGATAAAAGTTCTTACTCCTCTAGAAAGCACACATCTTCCTCAGAAAGGTGTTTATTCCCTCCTGACATAAAAACCATAAATATGTCTTACCCCAACCTCATATTCTGGTTTTATAAATAACAGGTTTTCACAGACATCTGTAAAATGCCACAGTGCGTGGCTTACAAACTCATACGGTTACAGTACGGTTGGTAGAGTTGGTGATAACTACATAGTAAGACACCAAGAAATATTCTGGTTCTAGCTCACAATCTAGTAGTCTAACCTGGTGTAATGTCAATGTGGGTCACAAGTCCCAAAGAGGAAGAGAGAATTACACCTCAAGCCTCTAGGCTGATTGATGGGGGGATTCTTGACATATGGGAAAATAAAGGGCACACCAGACAATCTATGAGACATTCAGCGTTATGTGAGGGTAACCACAAAACTTCTAGAATGGTCTCTAAGGAAGCAACGGACTCATTGCTGTAAAGTTTACGTTAACCCAACTGTGTTCAACATCAGTTTTAATGGATTTATCCAATGGAATTATTCATTTTAACCATGTCCGCCTAGCCTACAGCAGTTGGCTCAGATACCCCTGCAGTAGGCTTAAGGGACATACTTCAACTATAGTCATTCTTTTGGTAAAAAGTCCTATCTGAAATTCTTATGCAAGTTTCTATTACGTGTGATGAAATTATATAAAGCTTCTCCTCCCTCCTACTTTGTACACAGTTAAGACGGGATGGAATGAGGAGGAGGTTAAAGGGAAACAGGTAAGCAGAAGAAAACTAGGTCAGCTTTGCTTCTCTCCATGTCTTCATTATTAATTCAACTACAGATGCTCTTTCCCATCTCTGTGCTCCACAGACAGCCGGCACCATGAGCCAAGGCCGCCCCCTCACCGCCTCCTGCTCCCATCAGGCCAATCAAGTGGATAAACCCAGGGAAACAGAAGGAAGATCTTTTAGGACAAACTGTGTTCACTATTTAGAAATAGCTTTGTAATGTGCAAATTGTTTTCTCAGATTGTCAGATATAGAGATAGAGATGTTCATTGTGAAAGTCCTGCCCCAGAACTGAGCATAGTACTAAATGTTTGGTACTGTTCCATCCTCTAAGTGTTCAAATTTAATTGTTACTCTGTTTACTCTTATGAATCTTGAATCAGACCACGCATCCACACAAAAAGCACAAGGGAATCACAGGCTTTTCTATCTTTGCTCAGATGTTCTATATAATATTTAATGGGTTGATCATCTGCTGAGTAACTGTATTTTTATTTCAAAGTGTCGTTGACAAACCCACTATTTAACTGTTCTCCAAGTAGAATGAATATTTGAGGAATAGTTCATAAAAATGAACTGAAAGAATTGTTTTCTATTAAAAGAATAGAAACTATTTTGGGTAAAATCAGAATGATGCCATAGTTGACCGTTCAATGGAGATGTTACTGGGCCCGCTCGAGCAAATCAATGAACCATGGGAGGACAGTGCAGTGCTATCATAGTTGAAGCCTTTTACAGATAGATAATAGAAGTGTGAGGTGAGATGCCTAAAACCTGCCAAACCTAGAGAACTGAAGAGATTTTGAGGGGAAAATTGGGATAAAAAATTCAGGAACTTGCAGTTTTACAATGATTACCTTTTTCACAGTAAAATTAATCTACTGTTTAATGAAGTGGATGGAAGAGATGGTTCTAATTATTTGGCTTTTTTTTGCATTTTTTGGGGGGGAAGGTCACACCCGGTGATGCACAGGGGTTACTCCTGGCTCTGTACTCAGGAATTACTCCTGGACATGCTCAGGGGACCATATGGGATGCTGGGAATCAAACCCAGGTTGGCCGCGTGCAAGGCAAACGCCCTACCCTTTGTGCTATCACTCCAGCCCCTCTTTCCTTTTATTTGAGGCTGGAATAGGGTGGGGAGACTGGTCAGTGCTCAGGGACTATTCCTAGGTGCGTGCTCAGGAAAGACCCAATGGTCCTCATGGGACTCAATGTAGTGCCAGGACCCCGCCAGCGTCCCCAGCATACAAGGCAAACCTCTTGCCTCCTGAACTGTCTCCTGTCCTTAGAAACTCAAATCCTCCCTAAGTGGGTGCGGCTGACTCCTAAGATTCTGGGCTGGGTTGTAGCACTTGGATACTCTGTAGAACTTGGATACTCTGACCAAGTATATTTATTCTCTGTTTCTATTCCATTCCAGAGCTCTCAGCATGGTGGCTCCTCGACTTCTCTTGCATCCACCAAAGTCTGCAGCTCTATGGATGAGAATGATGGACCTGGAGAAGGTGGTGAGCATAGGACTTGGTGTTCTGAGAAGGTTCAGTCGGTCCAGGGAGCAGAGGATAGGTTGGCGACATCTACTTCAGGAACCTGTCAGGGCTCAATCAGAAGGAAATGGACACGCTCTCAAAAGAGCTGAGAGGGGTCAACTAGTAGCAGGGAGTGAGGCAGGAACTTGGCTTCTCCCAGGGATGGTATTTTCTCTCTGGGAATAGACTAACTCCCGATTTGGAAAAAAAGTCACATTCTCTGAGGGTGTCAGAATCCTTGGATGGCTTGTTATCACCCACTTTGGAAACTACAAAGGGATAATTGTTGTCTTTGTTTCCCCAAATTCTATTCACTTTTAGAATATTCAGGATAATTAACTCTCTTGATTGATTATTATTAGCCCTACAGTTATATTCTGAGTGAACTCATGATGTGAAAATATGGCTTCACACAGAATTAATGATGGCAATTGGAAAAACCTCTGTTTGTACCTTAAGCTAATTCACTTTAAAATCATTTTCTCTGTGATGTGGTTGAATGACTTATTCTCTCAAATTGATTTATTTACTAACTCACTCGATTATTTTGCATAAACCTCTTCAGCTTTTCACATCACATCTAATCTTCTATGTAATGGATATTATTGGTTGAGGCCAAAATGATCGTACATTGGGTAGGGTATTTGCATGCGACTGACCTGGGTTTGATCTCCCGCATCCCATATGAGCCCTCAAGAATCGCCAGGAGTAATTCCTGAGTGCAGAGTCAGGAGTAACACCTGAGCATCACTGGGTGTGAGCCCCCACTGTCCACCCTCCAAAAAAGGAAATGGAGATTTTTTAAAATGTCCATTTTTTTACCTTTTTAAAAAAATTCAGGCTCAAATCAATTACGGGAAAATATTTAGAAAAGCATAAGACTTAAGGAATCCTCTTCCCTTACCTGTTTCAAATAATATCCTTTAACTCCCCCTAAAATGTGAGGTGAAGGATTTGTATTACACTTGGATGGGATATATGATTTATACAAGAATTATCTCCTGACTACCGTTAGATACCAGGCTTTTTACCTGGTATCCATTTTTTTACCTTTTTAAAAAAATTCAGGCTCAAATCAATTACGGGAAAATATTTAGAAAAGCATAAGACTTAAGGAATCCTCTTCCCTTACCTGTTTCAAATAATATCCTTTAACTCCCCCTAAAATGTGAGGTGAAGGATTTGTATTACACTTGGATGGGATATATGATTTATACAAGAATTATCTCCTGACTACCGTTAGATACCAGGCTTAAAAAATCCTGCAGTACAAAATTCATCCACCCAGATGTCCCTTTTGTTCTGGTATATTTTATTTACCTAATAAAATGAAGAGAGCCTTGACGAGCCTTTGGTTAAGCCTTTTTAGCCCAAAGCCTAAGAGTCCATCTCAGGAAGCAGTCAGGAAATGAAAACTCCCAATCCTGCACTCCAGGCTGGTGCCTTAGTGAATGCAGCCACTGGAAGAAAGGAGGAGAAAGAATATCATTCTGTTTCTCAGCCATAAAACCAGTCTTGCCCCCAGCAGTCAAGGACAGTTTCTCTTATTGTCCAGGTAGCAAACAGTATATGATCTGTGAGTGACTTTGAAGATTTGAATGTTTTCGGTGGATTTGAAATTTCTCCAACCATCTCCTCTGATTTCCATGGTGTGGATAAAAATCTGAAGGCTGAGGCTGGAGAGCTAGTAGGGTGCTAGCCTCACTCGTGGCTGGCCTGGGTTCAATCCCTGGCATTCCATATAGTTCCCTACAGCTCCCCAAGCCCCACTGGGAGTGACTCCTGAGTGCAGAGCAAGGAGTAAGCCCTGAGCACCACCAGGTGTGGCCCACAAATAAAAATCTGCAGGCTGACTCTCTCCAGTGGCAAGGTTGTGGCTTGCTTAGGAGTGAGATGGTGGGAGGGTTCTCCTCTCTCACTTTATTCTGAAAACAATGTTTGCTTTCATTGTTTTTATTCTGAAAACAATGATTGCTTCTGTAGGATTGAGTTAATATTCCAAAGAGGTGAAGGGACTACTCATTTCTCAAGGGCAAATAATTATCATAATAATAACAACAACAGCTCATTTCCTACATCAGTATGATTTTCAGAAATTCCATCCACCTCCACTTCTAAGTAATGAACACTATTTAGATTCCTGTACTAGAATAAGAGTCTTAAAGTCGTTGTCTGAAGACTGAGTTTCCATTTGTCTGTTCCCCACAATAAAGACTAAATGAGAATTCAAAAGTCACCAAGGAAACTCATTGACCACCCGAGGCTTTAATTTGATTTTGAGAAGAAGTGTTTGGTGTCCGTTTATACTTATGGGTCAGAACAGGAGTGCAAACAGAAAGCACACTGGGTTCCCGCCCCATTCTGTATTCAGGTTGCCTGAGGGTGAGCTGGGATTCATAACTTTAAAGCATGTACATTTTAGAGCACAGCTGTAAAAGGCCATTTTACATCCCTAAGATGTTAAAGGTTATCCTGTACATTTGTGTGGCCGAAGGGTGGCTTATTTAGTTTTATTGTCTTAGATACTTAAAGCATTATTAGGCATTTGTAAAATATTTAATAATGCGTTTTAAGGAGGAGGTGGTCGGAATGCATTGTGTTAGCGGCACTAACATAATTGAAACTACAAAACAGTTCTGTTCACAGACATAATAGATATTGCAATTTTAACTCAACATCTGCTGTGCAGGTTGCTGGTGGGAACGTTTGTCTAAAATCTGCTCAATGAGACTAGGGAGGCGTGGCAATCAGCGCTTAGGAATAAGGAATTTTACGGAGATCTCCATTTCAGGATGTAGTAAAACTGAATGTGCAAACAGCAGGCATTTTTAATGCTTTACAATGTCAGGCGACGCTGAATCCCTTCCCCACTGCATTTCCCTCCAGAAAAAAGTCAGAGGAATGTTCTTTATCGGTGTACAGTGGGTCAATGGTATTGATCAAATTGGCAAAGCTTCCTTCGAAGAAGCCCCCTGCAGCACAATCCATAGATTGCCCTCAACATACATGGGAATGGAACACAGGGGATTAATATTTCCTTTACGTTTATCATTTGTCATCTACAAACTGTTGAATATACAATGTCAGCAGGAGGTGCGGGTGTGGCCTCACCGTCCAGAAAGCGACAGATAGATTCTGAGTTCATTCCAGCCTATTGGATGATACTGCTAAATGTCTCCTTTGTGCCACATCTGTATTCCCTTTTCTACCAATAAAACATTCTAATGATTCTTTCAGAAGTGTCGGAGGAAGGCTTCCAGATTCCAGCCACAATAACAGAACGATATAAAGTTGGAAGGACAATAGGAGATGGAAATTTTGCTGTTGTCAAGGAATGTGTGGAAAGGTGAGAAGGATACCATTGGCATAAAACTTAAAGGAAACTTTTGGCATTATGTTTTCCAAGATTGTGTCTTTCTTTGCTGTCCCTGTTACATATGGAATAGGTTAATGTCTCAATGCTGTTTGTTAAAAAAAATGTCAAAGAAAGAAAAGTCAGTTGAATAACAGATTTGAAAATATAGATTCCTAAGGACAATCTATAAATTAAGGACTTTGATTTTTCTTTTTAATGTACTCAGCAAAATTTTGCCAGATCTTTCAGGTAAGTCCTTTTATTTATAAAAACGATATTTAATAGTGTCTTTTACACTTGCAGACACTAAAAAAACATAGATTCATGCCATTTTACAGCTGGAAGCATCCTCAAGATAACACATACTATGATGGGTCTATGTTTGGCCAGGGTCCACTGATTTTGTTACCAAATCCAAGGTTCAGTTGCCCGCTACTCAGTGTCTAGCATTACAGGGACAAAAGTTGATGTAAGGAAAACATTCATGCTGGCAACCTGAGAAAATAGTGGACTTGTTATCTCAACACTATCATCTTTTCTGGCAGGGGTTTGGATGTATGCGCTGGTGGAAGAAGTAGGCAAAATCAGCTGAAGAGAGTGGCTGGTGGGGTAGAGGGTGCAGTCAGGTAGCACCCTGCTGACATCAGAGGTGTGATGATGCCGTTGCACGTGTCCACCTGCTCTTGATAGCACTAAGATGTCATCTTTCAGGGTCTCACCTTGTCAGCCATAAACATATTCATTCTTTTACTCTCTTTTCATTGTAGCAGAAAACCCCATTTTTAGCAGATTGCCATGCCCTTTCTCGGTGGAGTATCTGATTTTTTGCCAGTGTTCATCTCCTGTTGAGTTGGTTTGGAGGCCACGTATTGTTCTCTTAGCTCATATATGGATCACAATGGCTTCCAACTCTAACATGGCTGGTCTTCCCACAATAGAAATTCCTCATCCCTCTTTACAGAATTAATTTCTTTTTAATTTGAATATACTCATTTTGCATGAGTTCACATCTTGGGTCCTATTGTGTGAACCTTCCGAATCTAAACACTAGCTTGCTCCAAGAAGCATTGGTATTCCACTCCCCTGGATGAGGGCTTATGGCACATGGCCTCTCTCCCCAGAGGCTTCACAAAACATTCTTCTAATATTTTCCAGAGGTTCAAGAAAATGAAAATGACCTACAAGTGTTGTGAGTGGCATATACTGCTGGCGGGTGTATTCTGCCACATTTGCAAGGATAAATAGCAAGGACAAATATGCCCACCTTGGTTAATAATATGCTGTCGTGGGAAACTCCAACAATGGAAACACTCATCACCTTGCTCACGCCTTCGTTCCATGGTTCTGTGCCAGTATTTCCTTTGGTGGTGACTGCCAGGCACATTTGGTTTTTGTTTTTTTTTTTTTAAATTTTTTTTTATTAGTGAAACACCATGAGGTACAGTTATAGACTTAACAAATTTTTGTGCTTGGGTTTCAGTTATACAATGATCAAGTACCCATCCCTCCACCAGCGCCCATCCTCTACTACCATGGGTCTCAGCATCCCTCCCACCCCTCATCCCCCCATCCCACCCTACCTCTGTGGCAGGGCATTCCCTTTTGTTCTCTCTCTCTCTCCTTTTGGGTCCTGTGGTTTGCAAGAGAGGCATTGAGTGGCATATGTTTAGTCTATAGTCTACTTTCAGCATGCTTCTCCCACCCTGGGAGGATCCTCCCAACACCCTTTATTTGGTGCTCTCTTCTCTATCTGAGCTTCCTTTCCCCCTAGCACATGTGGCTCTGCCAGGCACATTTGGATTCTATTTCTCCCCAAACAATTTCTTTAGGAGTCCAGTACCTGCTAAAGAAAGTGAACTGAGCCACACTCTGTTTTGAAGCTGTTTTGTAGATCACTTTGAACTCACCTTCTTCCCTTGAAAAAAAAAAAAAAAACCTTGAAAGGTCTGAAATGCACTAACCAAAGATCAGGGCATAGTGAAGGGCTGGCCATAAGAGATCCTTCGTCTTGGCAGTCCTCTCTCTTGTATAGAACGCCAGGATCTGAGGGGCTTGTTAGTGACCAGTATTGGTGTCCCACAGGTTCCCTAGGCCCTCCTCCTTATACTACTTGCATTTTTTTGCATTGCTACTTGCATTTTAGCAATGCAGGCATCAAATATTAAGATCTGAGCTGCTGCCGAGTCCTTCTCTCTCACCTCCACTTATAAACCTAAAGACTTGTACTATAGACGTTCCAGCTCTAGCGATGAGAGTCAGAAGCAGGCTCAGCCCCACCCAAGCCAGCTGAATTCTGTTATTGAAAGGGATGCATCGTCTAGAAGAGTTTCAAGCATGTCAAGAGGGCCATGCTTCAAGTGTGGCAGAAACTCTGTCCTTGTACAGTGCAAGCTTATCCTTTTGATTTGAGACTGAATGGAGGAGTCCTGGTGAGGTGCCTCAGATGCCTCCCCTGCGAGTATTCTTTCTATGATCCTTCTTGAGAATATTCCACACACATGACTTGAGGGCCCACATTCCAACTCAAGCAGAATCTCCCAGGAAGTCTCTTTATGAGATACTCTGAGATGTTGTGGCCTCTCTGGCCAGTTATAACTCCCTCCCATCCCACCCCCATAGAAGGGACTCTTATTGGGCCTTACGTGTGCATTTGGTAAGCACAGGGTCCTGATGATTAGCGAGTCTGTCAACCCCTGGTCTAACTGCCACCATCCTCCAGAGCTTCCCCAACTCCATCCACTTGTCTAGAATCCCTGCAAGTTCAGGTCCGAGCTATTGCAATTCTCAGGAAAGACCAGCTGTGACCCCTCTCCAGAGGCCAGTCAACAGAGGAACACCGTTCCATGATATTCAGCAAGCACCACGCACTGTAGTGATAGAGGAAGGCTTGGGGACTGGATTTACCCTTTGCCCCCATCAACTTTTGACAACTTCAAAATTCAGACGACAGAAATAGCAAGTACAATAGTTCTGAACATCCCCATCTATGTCAGCCCATCTCCCAAAGAGGAAAAGAGGGGGCAACCTGGCCTAGAGAACCACTAAGTTCCATAAGATAGCCTTCTCCGAAATAATTTTTTCCTTTTATCTATTTGTTTATTTTTATTGAATAACCATGAGATACATAGTTACACAGAGTTGTGTTTTAGTCACACAATGTTCCAACACCTATCCCTCTACCAGCGTACATTTCCCAACACCAAAGCCCCCAGTTTCCTTCCTGCCACTCCTACCCCCCCACTAGCCTGCCTCTATGATAGGAACTTTTCTCTCTCTCTCTTTCTCTTTCTCTCTCTTTCTTTCTCTCTCTCTCTCTTTCTCTCTCTCTCTCTTTCCTTTTAGGCATTATTATTTGCAATACAGTTATTGAGAGGTTATCAATTTGTACCTTTACCTACTTTCAGGACGCAGTTCTTACCCAGCGTGATCATTTAGAACTATCATTGTCAATCCCGCCCATGAAACACTTATTTTAAGTACATTAAAATTTAGATTTGGCTCAACTTGGCTCAACTTGGAAGCTTCACTGGAGGATTTGGAGTGCTAAGTTTGGGTGGAACTCAATGGGAAGGCAGTGCTAGAGACAGCCCCACAGACGGGGCAGAAGACAGTTGCTGGCCCTTTACCATGGGGAGTTCTATAGTGGCATTGAAGGTTGAGAGTCAAATTCCAAGTGAGTGATTGGTCTGCATTTTCACCAGCGCTCCAGGGATCTGGTATTCTCCGTATTCCAAACTACAGATAGACTCTTTGTGGGCCACTAACTTTTGTAGCTTCCAAAGAACCCCCTGCCTTCACTGCTTGCTGAGTGAGCACAGCAGTCCTCAGACTTTAGGGTATGTGAGAAAGTAAATCCTTTATGGTTTTATTTCTTGCCAAGTGTTTTCATTAACTTACTTAAAGAAGCAGTTAAGTTTTTATACTTACGGTATGCATTTAGTCCTGACACCTGTTTTCAGCCTCATTTTTCAGAGTTAGATACTTTCCTTTAAGCACTTCCAGTAATTAAGGATTTAATTATGACTTTATGGTTCTCCCCTCAAGGAACCAAGATGTAACACTTGCGGCATTAACTTTGGTTGTCCTCCACCCTGCTCACAGTCTAAGATGTGGGTAAACCTGCGTGCTTAGTCCTCTCGTGCAAGTTTCTTTCTAGAAAGTCACTGGTGATACCCAGTCCCAAATCAACGGCCTTTTCCTTTCGACCCCAGGCTTTGGGCAGACTCTGATTTCCCAGGATTCAAGGAGCAATAATCCCACGCACTTCCTGAGGTTCTGTTCCTTATCTGGGAGTGGAGGGTTTGGCCTTCCTGGGACCCACCTGAGCCTATTTGAGTTACTTCGTGGTATTCACCTCAGGGAAGTAGAGGCCATTACAAATCTAACAAGTCTTGCTCTCTTCACCATCACAATCCTGACCACACTGCTTCCATTGTGCGCAGGTGAGGAATAAAGCATCAGCTCATCGTCTCTCAGCTCAGCACAGATTCTAGAGCTCAGCACATCAGCCATCCCGAGGCAAGAGTCATTTTCAACTTTTTTAAACCCAGGGGCCAGCACCAACCTTGGGATGTGTGGTTGAAAACCGCTGCTCTAGACTCTGCTGCCCTCAAAGGAAACCCTTCAAATTAGAGAGAAAATTGCTCTTGTATTCTGCTCTCATGGTTGCTTTATCCAAATTTTTTGTGATTCATGAACAGCAGGGTCTGGACATACTTTAGTTTTAACTTTTCCTCTTGCTCAAGTCCTTTCAAATTTGCGCACCGACTCTTCAGAAGCTTCTTCAGTGGAGACCGCTTAGAGGGCCCGTGATCCTTCTCTGCTATCAGGGCTCCCTGTGTGTGTGAGTCATTTAACTTTACCATTTCACTGCTGGCCTGTCCTCTGGAGGTTCCTAAAGTTAAATGTTTTGTTTGCACTCTGTTAAAACTGAGTGAAAAAGACTGAAAGTGCTTTTCTCTATTCCAAACCCCCAACCTTGCTAACTTTGAACACCCTGAACATTTTACCAAAGCCTGCTCACACCTTTCTCTGTCACTGTCTGCTCTGCTGTGGGCCTCCAGAAGCAACAAAATCCACTAAGAAGGTCATCCTTGAGCCTCTTAGTTTGTTTGATTTTTTCCCCAACAAACTTGAAGAAATGTGTGTTCTTCTGGATACCCTGCATCTCTCAGGAAAGCCCTCCGAGGCAAAGGAGTTTACCTCCTCCTGCGTTAATCTCAAAACCCTCTAGTTGGAAAAGTAGAACTTCAAAGTGTGTGGAGGGAGGCTGAGATAACAGGAGCTATGATGCTCACCTGACTTTCAGTAAACTCCAGTGCCATGTGGTCTCCTGAGCATCACCGGGTATAGCCCTGGAGCCCTGAGAATCACTGAAGTGTCCCAGAAAATTGCCTGCGTGCATACTCAGGTCTTGCATTGAGCTGTCATTTCTGTTAGCTGAGACTCCCAAAAGAGGCCCCCAGACCTCCTGAGCACCATATGAGAAATCCAGCTCCCCACCAAAACTCCAAAAGTATCACTTATCCTGGTTTTATGCACCGTATATAATTATAACAAGTTGGTTGGTTTATTTTGAGTGTTTTCTGCAAACTAACACAACATAGGGGTCCAGAAGTGTGATGGGAGGAGAAATTTTAGAAACTAGTGACATGAATGGTTTCTAAAATTTCCTTGAAACATAGTGTGAATATTTCATCACTTAATTTGTTTACAGGCCAATTCTCTGTTCTAACTTGGAAAAATCCCTTTGATTCTCCATGCTGAGGATTTTAAAACACTATTTTAAAGTCTCTTTCTTCATCACCCACACTTCCATTACATTCATTCAGAATTATAAATCAGCTTAAATCTACAAGTAAAATGCTCTCTTGGTTTCCCACCAGAAATTATAATTCTTGTACAGTAGTGGTTTATTATGGTTTGTAAGGATATATTATGTTCTTCAACAACAGACATGTTATATTTGGCACTAGGTATCTTAGAACTGTTAACACAATTTATGGAGTTATTTAAAGGTGATTCTGAGTCAGCCTCCCTCCCACAGCCATCCTAAAGCAGGGGCAGTATTGGTTGAGCTAAATATGAAACAGAGACCCAAAGAACTGGGTCTGATTTTTTAATTCTGCCATGTGGCTTTGGGAAAGCAAGTCCATCTTAATCATCACTTCCAGTTTTAATTTTATGACACAAGACAATCATAAAAGGCCCAGGAGGTCACAGGAAAATTGATTTTATCCCTTTCTACACATCCTGCCCATATGACCTGTGTGTTATCCAGCACAACACATCACTCTGTGCACCAAAGCACCAAACAGCAGTCTAAAAGTTGGAAACTATTTCTTGGCAGTTTTCAGTATGACTGTGAAAACCATTCCATCAAGAGTCACAAATACACTTGGTGGACAGAGACACTTAGAAGACAGGAAAGAAGAGAGAGACACTCTGCATCCTGGCCATACCACCTCAGAAGGAAGCAAACACAGGCAATCTAGAAGGAGGGTGGTATCAGTAAGGCTTTGCAACAGTTATGGCAACAGTAATAGCTCAGATATTTCTATGCTAGCATATTTGTTGTCTTAAAATTGGTCATATATTTTATTTAATAAAAGGGACAGAGATATTCACTGCAATACAAGATCCATGGCGTAAGAAATCTGACAAAATTATTTAATGAATATGAAAATAAGTTCGTTAAAAGAAAAACTTTCTCTTTATAGGTCGACAGCTAGAGAATATGCTTTGAAAATTATCAAGAAAAGCAAATGTCGAGGCAAAGTATGTATAAGATTTATTCTTAGGGGAACATGGGGAAGGGTGAAAAGCATATAGATCAATATGCAAATAACCTAAGTTCAGCTAAATTGTTGAATTTAGGTGAAATAGAATCTCCTTCCTGGCAATCATATTCATGTGCCATACAGGAACAGCGATATGAGCTCCAGAGGAGCTGACTCGAGGAGTCACTATCACTGTCACTGTCCTCCCGCTGTTCATCAATTGGCTCAAGCAGGCCCAGTAACATTGTGAGACTTGTTACTGTGTTAGGCATATCGAATACGTCACAGGGAGCTTGCCAGGCTTTGCTGTGCAGGCGGGAAACTCTCGGTAGCTTTCCCAGGCTCTCCGAGAGGAGCGGAGGAATCGAACTCGGGTAGACCAGGTCAACTGCGTCCAAGGCAAATGCCTTACCTGTTGTGCTATCACTCCAGCCCTGTATATGCTAATTGAAATATTTACAAATATTGCTGGAGTAGAAATAGGTTGGAATGATTAAGTATTAGTTCTGTTTTTCATCTTTCTTATTTCATTACCTCCCCACCACCCCCACTTTCTCCCTTACTTTTGTGATCTAAAGTTTCATTCCATCCTTCTATATGAAATTGTAGTTCTCACCTTTGGTTCTGAATTTACAAATATTATCTAAATACCTTCAGCATATTTTGACAATCCTTGGCCATATAAATGACAGAATAGAAGATATGCTCAATGTATTTTATATTGATCATCAACAACTTTTATACTCATTTTTGCCTTAACTGCTCCTTTGATTTGAAACCTATTTAAAATAAGATAACATTTCTCTTGAACAGGAGCACATGATCCAGAATGAGGTGTCTATCTTAAGAAGAGTGAAACATCCTAATATTGTTCTTCTGATTGAAGAGATGGATGTGCCCACTGAGCTGTATCTTGTCATGGAATTAGTAAAGGTACGTACGCTGGGTAAAGACAAACTCTATATAAGCAGCTACACTCTTCTTTATAATAGTGCTCCATCTTTATTTCTTCCCTTTATATTCCAACTCTCTTTACAATGCACTGGCATAATGTAACAGAATTAACACTACAGTTCTATGGCTAGTGTTCATATCCCAGCCTTGACTTGAATAGCCTGACCTCCGTGACTCAGTCTCCTCACCCAGGAAAGGTGAATAATAGTAGTACTTACCCAGGGGTGGTAGAGTGTGGACATCAGGGATGGCTTCCACCAGTTTGTGGGACACAGGACATACTAGATTTCAATGCAATCACTATTATGTCTATACTAGAAATTGTTCTTTTCCATGAACTTCATCTAAGGGTACTGTTTTTGCTTACAAAAACAGGTTATAAACTTTTATTTATCAACATACTAGAAAAAGAATTTGTTCCTAATAATAATGTGAGGGCCTAAAGCAACAGTAGTGTAGTCAGGGCATTTGTCTTGCATGCAGCCAACCTGGGTTCAGTCCCTGGCACTCCATATGGTCCCCCTCAGTCCCCACCAGGAGTGATCCCTAAGCAGAGACAGGAGTAAGCCCAGAGTATCACTGAGGGTAGCCCCAAAACAAACAGAATAATAATGCGAATAGTTTACCATCTCTTAATGTATGTTTCTTTCTCATTCTGTCATGTGAAATTGTGCTTAGTTCCATTCAGTTATCGAATATAGGGATAGGTAAGTGTTGATAATGATTGAATCTAGGTTAAAAGGGAAGATATATACTTTCATGCTTGAAATTTTAAGAAGTTAAATTTTTAATGGAATGTTTGGTATTCATAGAATTATACTTTTCTAAAGCATAGTGACTACTGTCTTAGTTATAGTGTGCTATAAATTTGCTGTACCACTTCTGCATTAACTCCGTATACTATGAATGAAAGCCAGGGACTTAGGGAATCATATTTGGAATTGGAGCTAGTGGCTGTGGAACATAGGCTTTATTTATTAAATAAATAAGACAAATATGTCACTGTAGAAAAATGTTTATTCTGGGCCTTTCAAGTTTTCATTGTTCAGAGTTGTTTAAAGTTGTATGGGCACTTTTTCAAAAAAATTTTATTAGCGAGACATCATGAGGTACAGTTGTAGACTTACAAATTTTTGTGCTTGGGTTTCAATTATACAATGATCAAATACCATCCCTCCACCAGTGCCCATTTCCCACCACCAGGGATCCCAGTATTCCTCCCACCCCCCATCTCCCCCATCCCACCACCATGGATCCCAGTATCCCTCCCACCCCCTATTCCCCCCCACCCCACCCTGCCTCTGTGGCAGGGCATTCTGTATGGGCACTTTTTAAAAACTAAGTTATTTATACTTTTATACATTCAGTCTTTTTTCCGCTAGATTAGTATTTGCTTCATCCAGAAAGGTCCTCACCTTTTTTGTAATAACACCAGATGACTGTCACCTTTTGAGACTGAAGAAGATAAAAATGTTCAGTGGTTACAGTTGAATATTTTTTAATATTCTTTCTGAAACAGAAGCATTTGTATTTTTTCTCATTTGGTAGATTAGTTTTTAAGGTCTGGGTTATTTTTAATTTGTATGGAAACATTTTTAGCATTCCCATATCTGAAGAATATTCTCCCAAATCATACCATGCTACTGTATTAAAAAATTCTATTTTCAAATGACAGGAGAACATTTATTTAGATGACAGAGCCTGGCAAGCTCCCCGTGGCATATTCGATATGCCAAAAATAGTAACAACAAGTCTCAAAATGGAGATGTTACTGGTGCCCGCTCCAGCAAATCGATGAACAGTGAGAGGACAGTGACAGTGACAGTGACAGTTTCCTATTGGCACTTGGTTTATCAAATAAACTTTAAGAATTACCAGCACTGTAAATAATAGTTTCGGTGAAATCAAGGATAGTGATAGTCATTTATAATGACACATATATGCATACGTGCTGTATCTATAGCAAAGAGTGGGGGATGGGGAGCAGGACTGGGAATTAAATGCAGGATCAGCCGTGTGCAAGGAAAGCACCTTACCCCCTCTTCTATCACTCCTGCCCATAAAGATTGAACTTTCCAGGGCGAGGGAAGTACCTCAGGGGTTAGAGGCACATGCCTTCATGCACCGGGATTCTAGTTAAATTCCTGCCACTAAATAGCCTCCCAAGCACTGCTGAGTGTGACGTTGCTGGACCCTCAAACTGCTTCTTATCACTGGGCCGAGCGTTGAACTGCCTTGACCTGCTTGGCCAAGGAGTGGCCCCAGACCCACAGAATACTGCTTGGGATACTCCCCCAACCTATACCTCCAGAAGAGAAATAAAGATTTTGATTGTATCCCATTATTCACTGATTTTTGAGTTTTTTAAACTAAATTAGACTTGAATTTGAGAAAATTGAAGATTCAAGAGTTCAGTTTGCGGGGCTGGAGTACAGTGAGTAGGGTGTTTGCCTTGCACGTGGCCGGCCCGGCTTCGATTCCCAGCATCCCATAAGGTCCCCCGAGCACTGCCAGGAGTAATTCCTGAGTGCATGAGCCAGGAGTAACCTCTATGCATCGCTGGGTGCGACCCAAAAAGCAAAAAAGAAAAAAATAAGAGTTCAGTTTGCCTAATTGTCCATTATATGCTTCAAATGATTAGTGACCAGAATCCAAGTGACTAGTGAGGACTCTTTGTCACTTTATGGATAGACCTTGCTCATTCTCTGTATGTGACCAAAGCTTTCAAACATGGCAGAGAGCACTGGGACCCCTCAAGCATGCCACTAAGATATGCCCTCAGATTTAGACTTAAAAACCTAGCTTTCAGTCCAGGTCTGACAGTAAAGGCTGTCTTAGCCTTGAAATTGAACCTGGGTTCTCAAGCCCTAAGTGTGCAGAGTTCCTGAGGCTGGTGGATAAACAAAGCCACCAATCTGGACTAGGTGGGAATAATCGAGTGAAATTCCATAATTATTTAGTACAGAACTCTCTGCTCCTGTCTGAAGCAGCATATCAGTCTCATTGTTTGCGTGTTTGGACAAAGGCAGCCCTTGGAGTGGATGGTCTTGGGTTCAGATACAATGAGAGCAACAGTCAGAAAACCAGAGGACACTCCTGGAAGCCCAGAGTAAAGGTAAAAGGTAAAGGCCCTCCCGTTGATCGTCGATTTGCTCGAGCGGGCCCAGTAACGTCTCCATTGGAGACTTTGTTGTTACTGTGTCTGGCATATCGAATACTCTCGGTAGCTTGCCGGGCTCTCCGAGAGGGGCGGAGGAATCTTAACTTTGGCCTATTCTGGTGCCCAAGTTGCTGAGCTTATGGGGACAGTGGCCTGCCAGCGCTCAGTCTACCAGTGCTCCCTTCTCCTTTTATAGTTTCAAAGGAAAACTAAGCTCCTTGGGTAGTAGATGAACCAACACAAGTGGCGATTGTGCTTGACTGGTCGGTGCATTGTGCGAGAAGAATGATGCAAGTAGCAAGCTGGGTTAGTAAATCAGACTCAAATTCTCTGAAAGGGATTCAAATAAACGGAACTAAAATTGGAGCCTGAACTCATTCTGTTTTGCTAAATAACAGAGCCTTAGCCAGGAACAAGGCAAACAAAAGTTCAGATGAATAATAGTCCTAGAAAACTTTCTCTGAAATAGCTCCGCCCCTCCACCTTCCCTTTTCTCTCATCTCTGAAATGACAGTTTCTGGTCCCTTTCTCTCTTCCTGACAAAGAAGCACATTGTGCAAAAAAGAAAACATTACGCACGTTTTAAGAAAGCTAAATCTAGACCGAGAAGGCAATTATGCCTGCGTGTGTGTGTGTGTGTGTGTGTGTGTGTGTGTGTGTGTGTGTTAATTTTACAAGGCAGCAGCACTTTCTTTTAAGGGAGCAGTTTGTGGGGTCACCTGTTTCTCATTTAGAAACATCAGAGCTTTTGAATCTCTGCTGGCAGTTGGTAGGAGGTTTATGCTGCCAGGAGACCCAAGCGTCACAAGCCGCTACCCTGAGCCCTGTTTCCACCACCCAGCTCCATGTCTGCACCCTAGTGAGGCCTGAACGAGTAGCTGCGTGTCTGATAACAGATGCTTTGCCTTATCCAACACTATACCTTTCTTTGGGCTCCCAAAGAAGCATCAGTAGCAGTCACAGAAGGGAGGGAAGTCCCCATAAAGTCTCCTGGTCTTTGAGAGGGGGAGATCAGGGGACACCCTGGTTCACCACAGATGCCGCCTCCATTCTTCATTTCCTTTCTAGTTTGTCACTCTGTCTCCAGGCGGCCTGGCTGGCCCATCTGCTAATGGCTTCCTCTGCCGGCTGTTCTCTTCTCAGGGAGGAGACCTCTTTGATGCCATTACTTCCACTAACAAATACACCGAGCGAGATGCCAGTGGGATGCTCTACAACCTGGCCAGCGCCATCAAATACCTGCACAGCTTGAACATTGTCCACCGAGACATCAAACCAGAGAACCTGCTGGTAAGCGGAATTCCAACGTCAGGGCATCTAGTGTTCCAAGCACTCAGGAGTGAAGGAGCACAGTTCTCACTCTTTCTTTTTTTTCTTGCATGTTTTCTTTCCTTTCTTAAAAAACAAAACAAAGACTGGCTTTCAGCTGGTCTTCAGTTAGCTAGCTGGAATCTGGCCTGCTCACATGTTGGCTAAGGGTTAACGTTTAAGCAGAACACTGGACTTGTTAGCACCTCAAAACTGCATTGGGGGTCTATTAAGCTTATATGTATGAATTCATTCATTTCATTCATCATCCTGTTATTCGTCGATTGCCTCGAGCAGGCCCCAGTAATGTCTCTTTCATCCTAGCCCTGAGATTATATTCAAGGCTCTTTAGGAGAATGAGACCCATCATTGTTACTGGTATTTGGCATATTGGGTACGCCACGGGGAGTTTGCCAGACTCTGCCCTGTGGGCAGGCTACATTCGATAGCCTGCAAGTTTGTCCAAAGTAGGAATGAGATAATAAGATGTCATAAAAAGATGTCCTGATAAGATGATGCGCGGCCACATTTGCGGCCGCGTGGTTCTGGGAGCTGGATTTTATAGTCTCTGAGTCTTGGCCGCTGATGGGATTACACGGCGCCAGGGGGCCAGGTGGTGGGTGTGACCCCCGCCTACTGGAATTTGGAGGATCTGGGTGGAGGATGCTCGACTCCAATCCCAGTAGGCTTGGAGATCTCGGCCCCAGAACCCGCGTGGCTTTGTCCCTCTGCCAGTACCTTCATGTGTGCGGAGAGTGGTCTCGGCATGGTGGTGGCTGGTCCTGGAGGTCTTCCGCTGCCAGAGCCCTGGCACGGGGCGGGGAGGAAAGCTCAACCTGCTCCCCTCCAAGGGACCCCAGCGAGGAACAGCCAGGCGCAGGGGCAGGAGACTGCACTGGTCTCGTCCGGGAGCTGGATTTTATAGTCTCTGTATATATGTATGAATATCTGTGATATATGCATGTATATTTATGATATGAATATATCACATATATGGATAGATGTGTATATATACATGCACATATATGTATGTGTGTACATGTATGTATATGTGCATACATATATGTATATACATACACGATATATGTGATATGAAAATATTATATATTCATACATTTATGCTTCTATATGCTTCTATTATTTATCTAAAGCAGTTTGACAGAAGTTTTTACTTGAGTCGAAGGTGGGGGAGCAACCCCTTTAAACTTTCACTTAATTTTTCAAATTTATATCTCTATAACAAGACCTAAAATTTGAAATACTTAAGCAAAACAAGTCTTAAGGATACAAGATTATACATTAAAGTATTCCTGATGGGGGTGCTGGAGTGATAGTACAATGGGTAGGGCATTTGCCTTGCACGCAGACAGCCCAGGTTCGATTCCCAGCATCCCATCTGGTCCCCTGAGCACCACCAGGAGTCATTCCTGAATGCAAAGCCAGGAGTAACCCCTGTGCATCATCAGGTGTGACCCAAAAAGCAAAAAAAAAGTATTCCTGATGGGGACTGGAGAGATAGTACAACAGTACAACGGGCAGGGCATTTGCTTTGCACGTGGTCAACCCAGGATGGTTTGATCCTTGGCATCTTATCTAGTCCCCCGCGCACTACCAGGAGTGGTTCCTGAGTACCGAGCCAGTAGTAATCCCCGAGAATCACTAGGTGTGGTCTCGCACTGCCCCACCACCACCCCAAAATAAAAATAAAAGAACTCCTGACAGGCACCAGTAGGGCCATTTTGCACGTGTGTGCACCTTCCTCTCTTGCACCAAGAACGGGGTGGCTCCCAGAATGATTTTTTTTAAGTCATAATGATTGATTTTTAAAATCAGTAAGTTTTATTCCCTTTCTGACAGTTTAGTTTGCCCTACATGAGCGTAATGTCTCCTAGGAAACACTGCAAGTCTCCACACAAGCTTGTGAGAATTCTCTCCTGGGCCACATCTAGTTGGTAAAGGGACCGTCACTGTCACTGTCACTGTTCTCCCATTGTTCATCAATTTGCTCGAGCGGGCCCAGTAACGTCTCTATTTTGAGACTCGTTGTTACTGTGTTTGGCATATCGAATACATCACGGGTAGCTTACCAGGCTCTGCCGTGCGGGCGAGATACTCTTGGTAGCTTGCCGGGCTCTCCGGGAGGGGCAGAAGAATAGAACCCGGCTCGGCTGGGCTGGCTGTGCGCAAGGCAAACGCCCTACCGCTTGCTATCGCTCCAGCTCAGGTAAAGGGACCGAACTGCCAGGGGTAATTTGTTACCATGTGCGTTACCATGTGCGTAACAGCCAGTTACGCATAACAGTTATCGTGTGCATAACTGCCATGATGGTAAAGGGACCGTACTGGAGAGAATTGAGGACAAAGGTACAGGATCTGCGAGAGCTGTCCCTGGTGAATACGGATATTTTAGACACTTTTTCTATTCAGGCTAGAATTTAAGTAAAATGCATTTTTCTAGCTTTGCTCCCTCTTGTCTCACTCCTCACCCCCCACGATGTTAGTTCTTGGGTTTTCATTATCCATCTCTGAGATACATGTACTATGTGTGACTTACAGTTTCCCCATCTCTTCAGTGGTCTGGGAATTGTTTCTCTTCTAAAGCACTGCTTTTCCAAGGATGGCCTAAGACTCCCTGCATCAAAATTACTCCTAATGTCTGTGAAAAATGCAGTTTTCTGTGCCTCCCTGGATGCCTTCCACATCAGAAGCTGGTGACTGGTGATAGGTTACACAGCTATGTTGCAACCAACTCTCTGCATGACCTAAATGAACATTCAGATTAAAAAACACAGCTCCCACTCTAGAGATCAAAAGTGATAAAATGTGCTGATACGGGAATCGCCTCGGTGCTAAGGACTTTAAACTCTTTTCACCCAATCCCTCCAACAATCTTGGGGGTAAACTGTATCACAGTTTAAACTGGGTATCGGGAAGTAAAAAGACCTTCCCAAAGTGGAAGAGCCCAAATCTCAACCTGGTTTTGACCTATATTTAAAAAATCCCAAGCATTTAACCATTGAATTTCATAAACCTATGAATTAGGGAGAGGATTTTATTGTATGCTTGCTATATGGCCAGAATAAGAGAAAGTAAAGTTGTAAAGTTGACGTTCGAACAGGAAAAGGGGCATGCAAAAAATCAGTCCACGTGCAAGTAGTTCATTGCAATTATCTTAGTCATTTTATAGCCACTGGCTAATGAAGGCTGTTAAGGTCAAACGGAGTTCTGAGTTAATTGCTCCTCAAATTCCACCTCTGCAATAGCCTAAACATTCTGTCTTGAAGAGTTGCCTCATTCACTGCAGTAATTTGCTCTCATCTGAATTCATTATTCCTAGATTCTGAAATTATGTAGGATTGTCTCTTGGGAGCAAACCTAAAACTGGGTCTTTGTTTAAAAACTTCTCTAAGCTCTAAAACTTCAGTGATTGAAAATTAAGTTCATTTACTTTCCCCCCTTTTGGAGTTTGGTTTATGTGGCCATTGTTCTCTGGTGTCTCGCTAGAGTCTGATCTATTTCTGGAAATGCCACAAATGATTACAGCAGTGTGCTTCTTCTGAAATTGCAATTTTGCAGGATACTTTTTAAATAGTGTGCTCATTTGAACATATTTCAGATTACCCAGAAAAAAGTTCTCTCCTTTTCCCCTTTCTATATAATGTAAGAATGTCTCACACACAAAACACACACACACACACACATTGCTTATCATAATATAAGTATTAAATATATGTGTGAAAATATTGTAGCACTGTCACTGTCCTCCATTGTCCATTGGTTTGCTTGAGCAGACCCAGTAACGTCTCCATCATGAGACTTGTTGTTACTGTCTTTGGTATATCAAATACGTCACGGGGAGCTTGCCAGGCTTTGCCATGCAGGCGAGATAGTCTTGGTAGCTTGCCGGGCTCTCTGCGAGGGGCGGAGGAATCGAACCTGGGTTGGCCAGGTCGGCCACATGCAAGGCAAACCACTATGCTAACTATATATATGTACACACACACACACACACACACACACATACACACACACACACACACATATATATATGTATATATATATATGGAGAGAGAGAGAGAAAGAGAAAGAGAGAGATCACTGTCACTGTCCTCCCATTGTCCATCGATTTGCTTGAGCGGGCCCAGTAGCATCTCCATCATGAGACTTTGTTGTTACTGTGTTTGGCATATCATATCAATACGTCACGGTGCAGGCAAGATACCCTCAGTAGCTTGCCGGGCTCTCTGAGAGGGGCAGAGGAATCGAACCTGGCTCAGCCAGGCCGGCTGCGCAGAAGGCAAACACACTACCGCTGTGCTATCGCTCCAGCCCTGATAAATTTCTAAACTCATTTTTGTTAGTTAAGTGTTTAATATTAGTTGTAGCTAGAAAATATAGTTTATAAAAGTCTAATTCATCAATAGCTTTCATTTCATTTACTGTTATTACATATATAATGGGCTGGAGTGATAGCATAGTGGGTAGGGCATTTGCCTTGCACATGGCCAATCTGGGTTCGATTCCTCTGCTCCTCTTGGAGAGCCCGGTAAACTACGGAGAGCATTCCGTCCACACAGCAAAGCCTGGCAAGCTAACCGTGATGCATTCCATATGCCAAAAACAGTAACAACAAGTCTTACACTGGAGACGTTACTGGTGCTAGCTCGAGAAACTCAATTAACAGGAGAATAGTGGACAGTGCAGTGCTACATATATAATATTTTTTGTATTATGTGAAACACCATGAGGTACAGTTGTAGACTTACAAACTTTCGGGCTTGGGTTTCAGTTATACAATGATCGAGTACCCATCCCTCCACCAGTGCCCATTCTCCACTACCAAAGATCCCAGTATATATTTTTAAGGTTTTTTATTTTTATTCTTATTGCAAATTTTGTGTTTGTTTTGTTTGGTTGGCCATAGCTAGCTATCCTCAGGGCTTACTCCTGCCTCTGAGCTCAGGGATCTGGGGATCATGTTG